AGGGACTACTAAGGATCCATTCCTTGATTCCTAGCTAACCAAAGGCCAGTAAATAAGCCGCACGCATACGGTAGTTTCCATTTTTTTTCGCGTCCTTGATTCACGGCAACCAGCAAGTCAAGACGGTACTACGAAGACAATCCATGGCGTGGAGCTTATGAAGGGTTTACTTGGAGGGTCAGCGGGACTTAGCAATAAGTATACGTATTAACTCTATAAATCATAGAATAACCCGAGTTATCCCCATGGTAAACCAACTTACTAAGTCCCCCTGACCCTCCAAGTAGGGTTTAGGATTCAAGGTTGAAGCTTTAGGGTTTCCAAAAAAGTCAGGCCTTTGTGGCAATAGGGAAACATGCTTCAAGGGTTTGGGTTTAGGGTTTGGGGTTTCGGAATTTCAGCAGGGCTATAGAGCTCCCTATCATGGATTCTATAGGGGTGATGTGGAGAAACTCCGAACTGAGTAGGGGGTAGGGCCGTGATAGAAATGATCTCACCCAGTGATTGCGGCTCTCTTCATTGCTCATAGGTATATGAGCCATAATTCGCTGTAAAGGGGCTATATAAGGGATTCGATAAGGGACTACTATAGGGGTTATCAAGGGGATACTAGGAGATTAGCTTATAGGTCATATAAATACGTATTCCACAAAAACAACAGACTCATGGAAGGGCGTGAGTGGAGTGTACGCAGGTCTCGTATGTGGGTACTTGGTATTTCCAGCTTCTTGAACGGCTGAGGGAAGTTGACGAGTTAACCCGTTCAGGAATTGGTTCGATTAGTTCAACGGGGCAATCTAGTGTGCGGCCATCTGTAATAGTAGCCCGCTGTGTTTAGATCAGCACGCAAGGACCGTAAGATTAATTAAGGACCCACTTGGGGGGGAAACTTTGCTCAGAAAACAATCCCCAAAGCCTAATCTACAACTGCCCTAAACCCTAAACCCCTGGACCACGCCCTAAGCTTGAAACCCTGAACCCGAAACCACAAAACAGAAGCCCGAAACCCTGAACCCTCAGTTATCTGATTGTTTCAAGTCTCTGTTCCATTCCCAGATATATCCCTATGTGCCCCCGTACATCCCCCTATATCGCCCTTTAAAAGGACCCCTATAGAAACCCCCCAATTTCATCCTTGAAACCTTTATTTTAGGCGCGAAACGCTCCAATTTCACGCCTTTTTAAACCTTCGTGAAAGGTATTTTGCCGTTTTACTTGCGGATGTTAAAGTCCAAATGGGGGTTTCCAAACAATAGTGGGTCCCATTTGAAAGGCCCCAGCAATCCAGATCATGGAATTTGCGTGGGTGTGTAGTGGGCCCCCCCTTTTTTTTAATTGAAAACTTCCAAATCTAAAGTAACCCACTGTAAGCCTTGTTTATCGTGTTATATCCCACGCCCAAAGGGTCCAAGTAGATGCATCGTATATACATGAGCCCTGAAGTAGTTACACAAGAACCCCTTTGGCTCTAAGTATATACTGCATACCTACATGGTTACATGACATGGACCCTCCCTAAACCCTAAACCCTCTAAACCCTAAACACTTAACCCTAAACCTATACTACATGTCTACATGGACCATTTGGGCCAAAAGGTGGCGACGCAGGATCCACCTGCTGTACCAGACGAAGCTTCAGCACCTTTGCAGAGACTTCGAACTCGCGTTCGGCACTTGGGTCTTGGGTCGGTGATAGTAGAGTTTAGGGGGATAAAGACTATTAAGGTTTAGGGTTTAGGGTTTGAGGTTTAGGGAGTTCAGGGTTTACGGGTTTAGGTTTCAGGGTCTTGAGGTTTTAGGGTTCATATTTCTGGATTCAAAGTATTAGGGCTTGAGGTTTAGGGTGGAGGGTTCCGGGTTTGAGTCTATTCTTTAGGTTTAGGGTTCTAGGCTTAGGTGCTTAGGGCTAGGGTTCAGGGATGGTAAGATCAAATAGCAAGCATATAAAGCAGAAATGAAATGGCAATTGAGGTTTCATGGGATGTGTACGGTGTGGGGTTTAGGGTGTACTTGCTTGTTGTTAGTAAGGAAATGAGGATCGAAAAAGACGGTTCAAACTACTACATCACTGGGGTTATATGGCGCTACTGCAGAGGTCCATTCCCTGGTCACCAGACAACCAGGCAATCGGCTGACCTGCTGCCCCTACGTCTCGCATGTTGGGAAACATACAAAAAGGTATTTTGCCGGGTGCAGCCCGATGTGTGATGACAAGAACTAGCACATCTGATAATAGTTGAGCTACGAGGAGAGTCTGCTTGCTCTGCTACTAATCTGCTGGGCCCCTAAAGAAAAATCCTTGAAAACTATCAAGTAGCCTCAGTATTTTGGGAAGTCGCAGTGATTCGGGATGACAAGAAATGCGGTTGATTCTCCTTGCCACAATCTGCTGGGCCTTTAGTTGCAAAAAATCGTACTAACAAGGTACTGCTGCTCGTTTAGAATCAGTTCCCTAAACGCTAAACCCTAAACCCAGAACTTCCCTTCTTAGTGGATATACTGGGCCTTTTGGTGCAACGCTTCAGGGTGATAAGAAGAAGGAGTGTATACAAGCATATTGCTGCTAGTGGATGTATTTCATGAGAGACGTATACACACATATATATATATATATGTATCTTTATACATATACATATACAAACCTTACTTAAACCCAACATGGCGGCAGCTTCTGCCTCAGGACCAAAAAAAGTTCTAAACTTGTCAGTTACTTCTGCTACGTGACTGACCCGCCGCCCCGACTTCGAAGTTTAATACGTTTTGCTGGTTATGCATGCTCTTGATCAATATGTCGATGCGCCTGAGTTTCAATGCAGATTTCATGCCGTGTGTGTGTGGGTGTGTATTCGGAACGTTTTCCGGTTAAGAAGGCCACGCTTCAGCACTTCAAATCCTGATTGATCGTACGGAGAGGCTGTTTAACCGGTTGAGTACAGTATTTCGCGGGCGGCAGAACAGGAAAACCTTGCTTTTCCAGATATCACGACTGCTTCACTGATCTGTCTGATTCATGTTGGGATTCGTTTTCACTGTCCGATGCTTCTGTCCGCTGTAATCCCAGGTTCCAGTTCGTTTCCAGTTTCTTTTCCATGTGATTTTCGTTATTGGGGTAACGTATACCCATAATTTCGGAAATCCCCTTGTCCTTTTGTTTCGAATAGCTTTGTAGTAGTTTCCATTTTGTTTTCCATTATCCCAATATAACCACACTATATCCCCTAAACCCGTTTAGGGTTTAGGGTTTAGGGTCTAAACTCCTTAAAGGGGGGTTATATAAAGGATTATATAGGGGACTACTATAGGGCTTATTAAGGGCGGTACTAGGAGTTTAGGCTAGCTCATGTGGGCAGAACGCTGCCGCGAAGTCCCGACAATTGCCAGAAACCTCAGGGAAAGCAGGAATTGAAGGGAGCTTAGAGCATCCATGCTGGCCTACAGTATATGGATTTTTTGGGTGTCCTTATTGTCATACAGCGCCTAATGTCTAGAGTACCCCAAACGGGACCATAAGTTAGGCTTCAGGTATGGTTGGCATCGACTGCGAGGCATGATTTCCCAGGGGCGCTAGCGTTCTACCAGCATACCGAAGTATTATCACCAAGTGGGAGACGTGTTTTTCTGCGCGAATGCATGTTTGCACGTAACCTCCAGGAAGTGGGCGGCTGCTGAAATTCAATCGAACCCTTTTTCGAGCTGGCCGGAAAATTAACTTGAATTTTAAGGTTTTCAAATCTGGTAAATGTGGAATTTGAGGGCTTATTGCTATAGATGTATCAAACCGTCCAATGTATGCAGTATGTATAGACTTTGGGGCCCCAAGGGTAGGTTTGAACATTTTTCGTTTTCACGTCAAATCCTTTAACGCCATAAAAATGCAAATGAAAGGGCCCCCAAGCCTACCCGAGGCCATAGGCCAACTGTATTGCTTACAGACTTGGAGCCTTGGGGTTAGAATGCGCGCCTTGGCTCTGCCTACAGCGCGCTGCCTGGTCAGAAACGATCCAAACTTGGAATCGACTTTTCCAGACTAGTGTTTTTTGTTTGAGTTAATTCTTATCCCCCTAAACTCTATTGGCACCATTGCTGTCACTAAACCCTAAACCCAAGCCTTCGCATTGAACCCTGAACCTTATGAAGCCCTGCCAATCACCATTCGGTGAGGTCTACCGTGCGGCAGACAAGCTAGGAAGTCTCCTGGAGGCTTTTCTTGGCTTTTGGGTTTTGGATGTAGGGTCATAGTCCGAAGGTTTAGGGTTTAGGGTTTTACGGGTCTAGGGTCAAGGGTTCAGGGGTTTAGGGTTTGGGGTTCTAAACTCCTAGTATCCCCCTTAATACCCCTTAGTATAGGGTTTAGAGTTTAGGGTTTAGGGGCCGAAGCTCCTAGTAAATTAGCCCTTTAAAAAAGCCTTCTAATACTCCCCTATGTAGTCCCCGTAATCAAAACGCCCCTTGAAAAAATACACTACAGCTCATGTAGGTTCGGGGTGTAGGGTGCAGGATTCAAGGTTTAGGGTTTAGCGGGCTCTGGGTTTTCATTGATGTGGTAATAAGGGGGCTTTGGTAACCCCTGCCTCCAAAGTCGGGACGGTATTGCAGTCATTTGATGCAATAAAGCTTCCATTTTGTGGTTGGAGTTACAAAATCCTCCCATGATTTAGGGCAGGGGATTTCCGACTTTTGGTGTAGGGTCTTGTCTTTGGGACGGAGGGCTACAGGACTTGGGACGTCAAATTGCTGAATACTCACGGTTTCACAGATCTCCTAGTGTTCTGTGGTTTGAGGTGGGAGTTTATATTTCAGGTTGTAGAGTGTAGGGATTGTCGGTTTGGGAAACTGCTGGGTCAAGGGTTCAGGGCCTACGGAATGGCCTTTGGGGAAAGAGACATTCTCCTCGAGGATGGAGCTCTCCGACTGATGCGGGCGCGACTGAACAGGGGCTTTACAAGGGTGTAATTTGGGTGGTTGTCAAAATTATGGTCCCTTTTTTGGATCCCTATTATAATGCGGCACCTAATATTTAGGGTACCCGAAAAAAGACCATAAGTTGACAACCACCCATTTCTACAAGGGAGACCATAATATCAACCGCATGAAATTCAGGATCATCCCTATGCTTGGGACGCCCAAAAGGGGCCCCTAGACTTTGGAAAACGTCATGTAGGCATCATGTGGGGATAGCAGGGCTGAGTACAGAAATGCGGAACCACAAGGTTTGTACAAAAGTACCCTGTTTTTGCCAAGTTCCCAATAATCATAATATACTTCCACAGAACTGCTCGTACAACTTCCCGGCGGCATCAATACCGACCCCTCTAATACTGTCAAAATGCGTGTTTCGCCACAGCGGCAACATCATCTTGCTGGTATCCCAAGTGGACCTATTCAGGGTGTCTCCTTTGCAACCGCTGGGGCTTTTGAAGGAAAATTGTGCGGACTTTTGCAGGCTCCAGTTGCGTCAGAATTTGGCCTCGGGAACGTGTTTTTGGCAAGCCGAGAAATGCAGACCCGCGCAGTAGTTGAGGCACTTTTTACTGCTGGTACCGTGAGCGAAATGGCACTTGGAGATGAAATTTAACGTGATTTCTATTGGGAAGTGCAACGACAGCAGTCCTAATTTCCAGGAATCGGTAACATGTCGTTGTGTCTTGCAAGAAAAGTTGTGCAGCAGGAACATGTTTCTTCAGGAACAGCTTCAGCGTCGCAGCTTCTTCAGGTAACGACCTGTGGACTTAAACAGCACGTGCCTGCTGCTTTGCAAAGACCTCCAGTGGAGGCTCCGCACGCACAGCAGGAGCAGCTTCTGCTTCCCCAGCTTAAACAATGAAAACGATCATAAAATCGCACGTCTGGTCAAGGATGCTGGCAACTCACAATGACTGCTGCATTTTCTGCATTCCTTGCTGACCATGCAAGTTATTAGCAGAGGAAATTATAGGGTAGTCTGGCAAGTGGATGCTTTGGGAGCACAAACGTTATGATCATTATTATGGTTTGGGCATGGGTGCCCCGGTCACCGTATGTTCTGGGAACTCGAACGCTATTATGGTTTGGGCATGGGTGCCCTGGTCACCGTATGTTCTGGGAACACGAACGCTATTATGGTTTGGGCATGGGTGCTCTGGTCATCGTATGTCCTGGGAACATGAACGTTATTATGGTTGGGGCATGGGTGCTCTNNATGGTTTGGGCATGGGTGCCCTGGTCACCGTATGTTCTGGGACCGCGAACGTTATTTTGGTTTGGGCATGGGTGCTCTGGTCGCCGTATGTTCTGGGAACGCGAACGTTATTTTGGTTTGGGCATGGGTGCTTTGGTCAGCGTATGTTCTGGGAATACGAGCGCTATTATGGTTTGGGCATGGGTGCTCTGGTCACCGTATGTTCTGGGAACACGAACGTTATTATGGTTTGGGCATGGGTGCTCTGGTCAATGTACGAAAGACAAGACATCATAATCCCGAAGCCCGCCAAATTGGGATATGGCTTACAAGCCGTTAGCTAGAACTTCTACTACCAGAATCCCAAGTATCCCACCCTGAACGCTAAACTAGAAACTTTAGGACCCGCAGGGTATATTCCTCCTTCTGTAGATAGAATATATATGGGGTATATGAGGATCTTATTATAATTTACCCAAAGGGGACTATAGGCCCCTAGAGCAGGTGGTGGCTTTGTACGCTACTGACATGGCGATGCAACGAGACCTCGCCGCAAGTCCTGGTCTAAGGATGCCAACGTTGTTGGGCTTAGGGTTTGGGGTGGTAGGGAGTACAGGGTTTAGCGTTTGGGGTGTTAGGCCTTAAGGTTTAGGGATCAGGGTCTAGGGATTAGGGTTTTGAGATTAGGGTTTAGGGATTTGGGTTTAGGGATTTGGGTTTAGGGATTTGGGTTTAGGGATTTGGGTTTAGGGATTTGGGTTTTGGGATTTGGGTTTTGGGATTACGGTTTAGGGATTAGGGTTTCGCGATTAGGGTTGAGAGATTAGGGTTGAGAGACTACAGTTTAAAGATTAAGGCTTCGGGTCTTGGGCTTAGGGATCAGGATGTAGGTTTTGGGGTGTAGGGTGGCTTGGGTTTCGGGATTCTAGGATTGAGGGAGGAGGTGGAGGGATTGGGGTTTCGGGTTCTATAAGTCCTGTTAGAAGGTTCTGGAGCTGTATGTAGAGTCCCCTCAAAGGGGTTATGCACGGGTATCATGGGTCGCTTTAAAGGGCTTACATAGGGTGCAGAGTTGGCAGGTGAGAGGGGCTTCAGATAGTCGGGTGTCTGTTATTGGGCATTGAAAAAAAGGAGCCAAAGGGTCCGTGTACATAATAACTGGGTACCTGGTATTCTGGTACTAGTCATTGCAGGACACGTTTCAGGTAGGTATAGGATTCTTGGGCACTTGGACCCTTTGGGGAATGTAGCATCTTGGGGTTTGTGCTTGGAGACGTAATATTTTTGGACATACTCAGGCATATCCATAATGGCCTCTATTGTACAACGATGTTGCCACCACCAGACCATGGCACAATGTCGCGCTCTTGCAGAGGATCCTTCGCAACACAGAGCAGAACGCAAATATGCTTCGGGAGCTGCTACGAAGGGTCCGTCCTAAAGCGGCTCCAAAGCAGAATGCCAAGGCAACTGCGCAGGCCGTGCCACGAGTGTTTTTCAACTTCTTTGGGGCATTTGCTGACTTAGAATGCCAACGTCCCAATTATGCGGTACCCGGACCCTTAGGCAAAGGCGTGCAATCATGCAACAGCGTGCGGTGATTGAACGGGTTGAACTTGAATCTTTATGCGCCCTGCTATCACTTGGTAGTTGCCTGTTCTGAGGGGGCTCTTTTAGGATGCAATGAGGCTTAGGGTTTAGGGCTGTCCATCAAAGACTTTAAATTCGTACCGTTAGTGTTTGTAACCTTAGTTCTGGGGCCCAAAAACCCTTATCAAGGGCCATATTCCATGGTTTAGGGACCCAAACCCAAGGGTAAATAGCTTGCATCTAAGAAGTGGGTTTCAGCTTGTGGCTTCAAGCCTTAATCAAAGATAGCACCTGCAGCCCCAACTCGCCCATGTTGCACTAATCCCCTCCCGCCTAACATAGTCACTCTTCTCTCTTTTGTGAAGGGCGTCTCACCCGAACACTATATCACCAACCTGTTCCATCAATCGCGAGACAGCCATACACGAACCCTCAAGCCTACGATCCCCAACGCCCTCCGCAGGAGCAACGACATGTATCAGAATACGAGTATCAATAACAGTGCTAACATTGGTAGTAGTAATAAGAATGACTCAAAATCACGCGTAACATCATATGGATAAGTAGAAGTGTAATGATATTGAGAATAATAAGAAGAAGACCATAAACTACACCCTCCACCCAACACAACCCAAGCTTCCGAGGTTGCGCCTGCCTTGCAGCAGCCATGGTGCAGGAAAGCGGTCAGCCGGGTACTCAAAGCAGAGACATCCGAACCATACGAGCCATAGTCTAATCCTAGTATCCCCCTTAATAACCCCTATAGTAGTCCCCCATATAATCCCCCATATAACCCCCTTTAAGGAGTTTAGACTATAGCTCATATTGCAATTCCTAGTAGAGAAGCCCTACTTGATGTGACTTGGTCGGCTATCAAATTCGGTCCCTCTTTGGCTCCCTTTTACGCCCCCCCCGCCCCAGCCCTGCAAGGGTTTAGGGTTTAGGGACATGTCAATCATTTTAACAACACCCCCCCTAGCCCTGAACCCTAAGCCCTAAATTCGAAGCCCTAAACCCTAAGCGTTAACTTAATCCAAAACCCTTTGGAGCCTTTGGGTTAGGGAGTCCTCTACATTACAATCTCAACAAAGCCCAGCTTGCATCTTTGCATGTCCGCAAAAGTCCATGCATTTCATAATTGGGCCCCTGGGATTTGGGTGCTAGTAACTACACCCAATAATCATATACTTCCACTAGTTACTACTAATTCTAGTAAACGTTTTGGGGCAGTATATGATTATCGAGAGCTCGGACCCATAGTAACGGTTTGATTTTGCATGAACTCCTTGACCCCAAAAACCTAGACTCTAGACCTAGAAGTTGGGTACTGCCCCCCCTCACTAACAGTTGAATAATGAATATCATAGAGTTATATATAGCCCTTAATAGGACCCCTAATAGAGACTGTTACTGGGTGGGGGCAGTACCCAACCTAGAAGCCGTAGACCTTTGGCTAGGCCAGAAGGATGCTCGGAGGATCACTTCACGCTCGGCCGCCTGGGTGAGGTGTGTAGCTACAGTCTGGAGGTTCAGGAGTTTGGTGGTGTCTTAGGGGTTCGCAGTGTATGGTTCAAGGGTTTAGGGTTGACGATGTAGGTGGATGGAGAAAAGCTTACAGTATGTATGACCCTCGCGCTGCAATTCTGATCTTACAAGGTGTATAGGTGCTGCGACATTGAAAGGTTTCCTGGATCCGAAGTAGAGGTTCATATGGATTACAAAAATGTTCTTCGAGGATGTGTAGAGATATTCGGGGTTTACATTTCAGGGATTACCCTAAGGGTCCTTGTACGCAACATTTATGTACTTGAGTTGTTGGTACGGGTCATTGTAGTACAGGTTTTGGGTGGTATATGATTATGAGGTGTTAGCCTAAACCCTAGACCCTACATTGGTCAAAAATTGCAATTTTTTGGATTGTTCCATGGGTGTCCTTTGTCTCCCTCCTAAACCCAAACTCTCTGCGCACGTGGCCTTTACAAGTAGCGTTGGCGTTCCCCATATTGCAGCTCACGCCAGGGTTCTCCTTGTCATATAGCCCAAAACCCTAAAGCTACAGAGTCTCAATCCCTCCGAGCTAATTCAAGCCCCAAAACTACAACCAACTCCCGAGGCCACGAACCGAAGGAAAGGCCATGACTGGTGACTTTAGGATTTGGGTTTAATGAGGGTTCAGGGTTTAGTTTAGGGTTGGAGTATTTTCATGCCCTAAACCCCAAACCCTAAACCCTAAACCCTAAACTGGAGTATTTTCATGTCTAGCATGTTGGGGAGCCTAAGTAGTGCAAGGTGTCCTCCATCCGCCCTAGGCCAGCAACCAGCCCAGGCCCCACAGATTCAATCCTGGCGCCAAAAACTTTAGCCTAAATCACCCCCCCCCTTCCCAACCCAAACGATATGTAGAACCCTCATAACCCCTGTATGATGCTAGCAAAGAATGCCCCGCAGCCTTATTCGAATGGTTCCTAAATTACAAATCCCTTTTATGAAAATAAGTATGTAAGCCCAGCTTCCATTTCACCTTCCATCTTCTTTTCCATCGGATTCTCCACTACTCTTAGGTGGACCCCCTACCCTGTAATAGTGATATAACTAGAGTATATCACCGACCCTAAACCCTAAATCCCGAATCAAACCCTAGACCCTAAATCCCTCAACCCACCATAGGCTGAACTGCCGCTTCCTTGTTGCCAACGGCTTCGACGCGGCAAACCTGGGTCGGATAGAGGCACTGGATGTTTAGGGTTTAGGATTTGGGGTCTGGGGTTTAGGGTTTGAGGTTCAGGGTTTAGTGTTTAGGGACTTGAGGTTTCGGGGTTTGGGGTTTGAGATTTGGAGGTTTGGGGGTTTTAGGGTTTGAGGCTCAGGGCTTTGGGTCTAGGCTTTAGGGTTTGGGGTGTAGGGTTTGGGCTTTAGGGCTCAAGGGGAGGGGGGCTCGGGGTTCAGGGTCTAGGGTTTAGGGCTTAGGTTCAGATGTTTCGGATTTGGGGTGTTGGCCTTCGGGCTAAAGCTCTTGGGTTGATGACCGAGGACGTAGGGTGTAGCTTCACGTGGCTAATAGGCACAATGTTGCGGGTGTGCATGTTTCACAGAATTCCAACTAGAGCTCCCACCAATCATTGAGGGGTTTAGGGTTTAGGGTGTATCAAACCTACTCCCAAAGACTGAACCCCATAAACCCGAAACCCTCAACTCAAACTTACAAACCTAAACTCTAAACCCGAAGTCCTAAAGCCTAAACTCTAGCCCCAACTCGAACCTGTGATTCTGGGAGCTGTTGGTGGGTAGTGAAGGCATGCTTCGCGAGATCTGGATGCTCCTCTTCAGGTCTTTGCCTCCAGTACACTTGATTAGTAGCTTAGGTTTGGGGATGTCGTAGCTTCAAAATGTTAGGGTTTAGGCTTTAGAATGTATGTTTGGGCGGTCGAAGATTTTCAGAAAAAGAATAGGAGCTTAATTACTTGTTTGAACTACCCACACACTACCCAGGTGTATATCTTTTACAGAGCTTACTTCAGCATGCTGCTCTTCACCAGTCGGAGAATCGCGGAAAGGCCTGCGCGAGCTCCACTTTCATTCATGTCGACTAAGACCTTCGCATAGGACCTAGGTAGGAAACACTCAAGCTGCCACAAGAAGTAAAAAACTATTACCCCTCATGGCCATCATTACAGACTTCACTAAGCTTTCGCGATGTATTTACTTTCAAAAGGGACATGGCAGTTTCCAAAACACGGGGACCACAATATAGGCCCCAAATACTATAGTCCTTATTATAGGGACCTCTTAAAAAGTACCCAGAGTTTTGTGAAACCCCCACTTGTTCAATAGGCACTCAAGTCTCTGCTGCACCCAGAAACACACAGGTGCATTCCGACTTCTCAGAAAGGCGGACGCAAACATTTGGCGCACAATACGAACCCCTTTGCCGAACAGTCCAGAAGCTATCTGTCTAACCTTTCTGAGAAAATGGCGCGTTGGCTCTATACTCTACACTCAACCACGTGTGGATCCAGATTTATTATGGCCCCCGTAAATAGAAACCTCACCGACATGTTTTTCCGCGAAGGCATCAGAGAAACCTGCCACCCTGGCGGCGCTAGGCAGCCTCGCCTGCAACGTCGGGGACCGGGGGCTCAGAGAAGCATGCGTTGTTGGGTTCTCTACAGGTGAATCCTTGGACTTCGCTCGGACCTTAGACCCCTAACTTTTTGGGACTCCCTTTTGTTCATATGGTACCTAACAGTTAACCCTTAGTAGGGGTCCTAAGTGCCACGTAGTCATGTCCAGGGTAGAGGCAGGCTGCCTGAGTTACTTGCGCCTCCTCCTCCTCCTAAACCCCAAGGGGTCCATGTAGGTATACAAGATGTTTTATTTCATTAAGGCCCAAAGGGGTTCCCATATAATACCTACTTTAGGGCCCAAGTATATACTATGTACCCTAAGCCCTACACTATATACCTACATGGACCGTTTGGGAATGCCTCTTGCGTGATGCGACTCTCAGCTTCACAGGACCTGAACTTCGTGACTCCGACGCTCACAGAGCAGATCGGCGCGGGAGCTCAGATGTTTTTTCTGCAAAAGGGGCTATAGCTTTAGGGTTTAGGGGTAAGCTTCTTAAAGGGGGTGATATAGGGTTTAGGGTTTAGGGTCGAAACTCTTTAAACGATGGCTATAAAGTGGACTCTATAGGGGAGCGTTATAGGGGATATTACAGAGAATACTAGGAGTTTAGACTATAGCTCAAATGTCGTGACATGTGGGTCAAGGAAAGGGATGTCTAGCGGGACTAGAGTCCCGTACATGGAGGCTTTAGGGTTTAGGGTTCACGGTGCTCTGTCGGTAGTAGTATCTTACAAGCAGAACGCAGGCTTGCTTGGTGTAATCAACCCAAAACAAGCCAAAACCAAAACCCCCAAACCCAAATCCTTAATCCCAAAAGCCTTGAATCCCCAAACCCAATATGTACGCCTTGACCCCTGAACCCTAAATCCTACACACCTTAAATTGAGGCCAGATGTCCCCAGAGGATGTTGCTCGCGCACGACAGCGCCTATCGCGTGAGCGCCTCAAAATTTCCAGGCACGGCACGGCACGGCACTTTTCAGCGTTTGATGTAGGGACAAACTCGTTTGAGAGGGATATGCCTAGGTCCCTTTAAAGGGGCTAGAGCACCCCTATATAGTGTGTAATTTAGGTTTCTATTGCAGTACATTTTGCAGTAGCTAGTTAGTTTATCTGGGAAAACAGAAGGCACTAAAAGCTGTAGGGTTTGGAATTTAGGGTTCAGGACTCAGGCTTCTACTATGAGGTATATAGGACTTAGGGGCCTGAACTTTCAGATTTCAGAATACTTGAGAATCAAATGCAAAAGCAAACTCACTCCCTAAGGGTCGAAGGACTCAAATAATAGAGGTTTTGGGCCCAACTGCTATAATCCGAATGGTATCTGGGACCTAAAGCCCGAATATTTGGGTCCTCGGGCCCTTAAGGATTGGCAATAACCAGAAGATGCGATTGGATAGGGTTCTCCTGTAGAGAGATTCCCCAAACACTAGCTAAAATGACAAGAAGCAGTTATGAGCAACGGCAATAGCAACAATAATCACTGTTATACTAATCGTCGATATACTAAGCGCAATTAAAACAGCAATGTACCCTAAGGGTCCAACTATCCAAATATCAATCCTTTAGGTGCCGAAAGCAACGCAGATTATGGTTTTTGGGACCGAAAGAAGCCCAGTTTTTGTGGATCTAGGTCAGCAACAAGAATCCCATTCTCTGAGAGTGCTCCAACGTTGAGAAGCTCAGGTCAGGATCGACATCGACTGGTGCCGGGCACTCAGAGCAGATGAGGGTTTTTTCCCAAAGGTCGGCGGATATGCTTAACCAAAACCTGTCCCGCAATTACTACTACCAGAAAGCCAGGTAGCCAATTATCAGGTACATGGACCCTTTAGGTGTTGCTCTGTTTGGTTTGACAGGGGCATGCTTTGAGACAGAGATACGCTCTTTTTCTGGGTGTAAGGGTGAAGCTGTGGGTCCATTTTATCCTGCAGTGTCTCATTCAATTCAAGTCTCCACTGCAACCGGGTCTTGCACCAAACTGCCAGTACGACACTACAAACTTGATTTCGGAGCTTGGGACCCTAAACCATAAACCTTAGAGGGGGAGTTGAGAGCAATCTGTCTGTGAGTTTGGGGTAGAACTGCGATAGACAGAATCTTACAACCTATCCCAAAGGGTGCATGTAGATATGCAGTATTTACTTATAGCCCAAAGAGGGGTTCCTATATAATTACTTCAGGGCCCGGGTATATACTATGGAGCTACATGGACCCTTTGGGTTTGCGAGCTGATTGTTCAGCTTTGGGCGAGTAAGGGTTACCGTGCTGACGATGGCTCAGCCGGAAATGGGTGTTTCTACAGGCAGGGCTTATACGATCCTGGACGGTGTTGCGAAGGTTCACATACCCTGACCTTAACTATATAACCAGTACCTACTTTCGCTTTGGGCTTGTAGGGATACCCTCAACCCCAAGCCCTGAACTCTAAGCCTTAAACCCTAAACCCCTAAACCCTAAAACCTAAACAGTAGTTTCCATTTTCTTTTCCATTATCCGTATAACCCCTATATAGCAAATCCCATGACTTCCTCCACAGGTTGACAGCATCGGGCGATTCTCTGTCGTACCGGCCAGATTATCAAGACCTGGTTCCCCAATAAGGGGCTATGCACCGGATATAGAAGGACTACATAGCGATGTATAGGGCTTAGAGGTGGACCCCCAAGGTATGCAGCATAATGGCCGTTCTGACCCCTGTATACGGGGTTTGAGGCAATTGCTTACTTTTTCTTAAGCATTAGATTCTATCCCTAAACCCTAAAATCTAAACCCTAAACCTAAACCCTTCTATACTACAGCACCTTCGCAAAGGACCCCCGGAAATCAGTCATGACAGGTTGGCTTCCTGGGAAAGTAGAATTCATGGCCTTGTCAGAGACCCAAATTGCCTTATATGAGCCATAATCTGAATTCCTTAAAAAGGGGGAATAAGGGGGATTATATATGGGACTACTATATGGGTTATTAAGGGGAATACTAGGAGTATGGACTACAGCTCATAGATCCTTTATATAACCTTCATATCCCCCTACGCAACCCCTATATCCCCCTGTTGCCTGGTGCAAACTTTGACCATGAGCTGGTATTTGGTCCAAAGTGTACACAAAGCATCATCAATAATGATAGTCATGGTCATGGTAGTGGTGACGGTAATAGTTTAGTAACCATAATTGCACTGGCGTAATGTAGAACCCTAAACCCTAAACTCTGAAAATCTGATACTGTTATCCACTGAGACTCCTTCTATGAATCTATCCGAGTGACGTAGACCCCCCACGCTAGGCAAGGTGCAGGGTGCCGAAATGACGGACCCAAACCCTAAGCTCTACCCTAGAAATCCAAATAGCCCAATGTAGGTAATATTTACAGACTTCAGGGCCCACTGTATGTATCATTTGTATACTTGGATCCCTAGGGCTATACCCTGAGCCCTAATCTTTGAAACCTCCAAACCCTCAAACTTGATGGGGACTTGTAAAGTTTCAGGGGCCGTCCCTAGACTGGCAGCTTTGAGCTACAGTGGACACTAACAATCCTATGCCCCTAGGTACCCTAAGTGTTGGGAATTGTGGAGTTGCAGGTATCATCGAATTATACTAAGGTCACACAGGGTTTTTGCATCAACAGAAGTGATTTCACGCAAGACTCCAACATACGCGACTTTCTTCGATGTTGCCTAGGTACAGTGGTAAGGTTGGAAATTTGGACTCAGACCGTTCATGTTTGAAAGGACCTTTCGCCACATTTGTAATTCCTGAGAGCGCGTGACCGATGGCGCTGCAACCTCTGGTTTCTCAACAGTATAGAACTCGCCCTCCCTCTTTAAGAGTGGTGTAGTCTTTTCAAAGATTCGATGCATGTGGTTTAGCCCGACACGCAGGCGTCTTGCCGACGTCCGTGTTGCCAGAGCATATGCACAGTTTCGCGAGCATGCATGCTGACCCGGACAATAGTGTCCGTTTTTGCCAGAGCATGAGACTTCGCGAGCATCTATGCTGGCCCAGATAAACGCGTCTGTGTTACCCGAATAAACCGCTATAGTGTAGTAGCTTCTATTTTCTTTTCCTTTATCCCTACACGACCCCCATATACTCCCTTATTTCCTATATGGTAGTTCCCCAAAATAGGGGGACCCCAATACAGACACCAAAAAACTAAAATTCTTATTATGGGGACCCCCCAAAAAAGGTACCCCTAATTTTGGGAACCCTAAACCCTAAATAGTAGCTTCCATTTTCTTTTCCATTCTCCCTATATAACCATTAAAACCCAGATTATCCTTATCCCCAGGAAGCTATTTTGAAGCCATGTCAAGACAAAGCCAGGCTGGCACTCTTCGGTGAGGCGGACCGTGTGGCTGTTTCAGATAGGGCGTATAGCCCTATGGGTACAAATATTGGGCCTAGGGACATAGAGGATCATATAGAGATGAGATAGGGCATAGGGTTATGTAGGAATTTGGAGCTTTTGTGATTTAGGGTCCAAAATTTAAGGTTCAGGGCATAGGGGTCACAAAGGGCTTGGGTTCAGGGGTCGGCCGTTGCAAGTTGGTGAGCAAATTGCCACTAATTTACACTCCCAACCCAAAACCCAGGAACCTTGAACCCGAAATAACCTACTTGTTACGTCCCCGGACTGTAAGTATGACTTACATCGGGCCCAAGAGTCTCTGAATTGTACTTGCATCGTGCCATAGGGTACCTAAGGCCCAAAGCCTAAACCTCAAACCTATTTGCGAGGCACCGAGTCCTTTGCCTCCAGCTGCGCCGGCGCAGGCGCCCGCCACGGCGAAGCCGGCAGCTCCAGGCCACTGCTCGACATGATGATGGCAAGGGTTTCGAGGGTTTGGGGTTTAGGGGTTTCAGGGTTTAGGGTTTAGGTCTTTTAGGGGTTTGGGGCCAAAGTGTCGCGCAGAGGGTTCAGGGGTTTTGAGGAATGGGATATAGGTTGTATAACCGCCCGCCAAGTGACAGATCCAGAGACCCGCAAAAGGGTGTGAGGCCCTCCTTCAAGGGGCAACAGTGGGTCGACCGTTTCAGGGCATAGGGTCTCACGTTTCAGTGTCTGCGTTTAGGCTTCGGGTTTTTCTGTAAATGCCAGGGCCCAACATGGATCCCAAAATACTACAGTCCTTATTCTTGGGGCCCCCAAACAGGCAACTCTAATTTGGGGAATCGTGGGCTTGCATATTTGCTGACTCTGCCTGTTGTCGAACGCCAGGATGCCGACCGCATGGAGCTTAATGTTAAGGGTTCAGTATTAATTAGCAGATGTAGATGGATACCATCTTTTGCATGTTGATGTCAAGAACTGCCACCGGCCTCCAAGACCTGGAAAGCCTACACCGGACTCTTCCAAACCAACTTTGGGTCCATCCATGTGAGCTATAGTCTACGCTCCGTAAAGGGGGTTATATAGGGGAGTATAGAGGGGAGTATTCTCGGGGTTATTAAGGGTTATTAAGGGGGATGCCAGGAGTTTGGACTATAGCTCATGCAGACCCATTTTTTGAAAGAAAAGCAGTCTTTATAGAGTCCCTGTTCTAGTTCCATGCTAGTTTGGTGGATGGTAAGCCCCAAAACCAATCCATCCTTCAGAAACCCTAAACCCTGAACCCTAAACCCTGAACCTGAACACTAACCATAAACCCTGAACCCTGAACTCTAAATCCCAAACCTAAAAACCTCCACCCCTTGGCTACAAACAAGGCTTGAGAGACATTGTGCAAAATGCTCCGAAGGAGACGGCAAGTTTTGCATGAGGGTCGCAGGCATCCTGTTTTGGAGCTTATGGGCCTAACCCTTGAACCTATAAGGTTTGGTGTTATGGCTTGGGGCGTCATGACCCAAGTTTCGTTCTCGCTGTCTTGTTCTCAGCTTTCCGTAGACAGCTGATGCTTTTCCAAGATCCCATAATCCATGTAGCCTAAGTCAAAAGCCTTATAAGCCATACTGCAGGGCAGTCTAAGCAGTAGGATTGAACATGTATAAAGGCTTGTTCTATTCGTTCCGGGCGTGAAGGCGTTCCAGAACTATATTGCACCTTGTTCCCTTCATAACAGGTGTATGCTTTGCGTGTGGATGCATGACTTGGCACGCTTCGCCCAGTCGATAGGCAGCACACGCACCTTAAAACCCTTACATTGGGGCTATATGGGGGTTTTATATTGGGATAATGGAAAAGAAAATGGAAACTACTATAATGGGTTATACAGCCAAAACTTATTCCGCGCCGCCGAAAGCTCTGAGCCCTGAGCTGGAACCTGCCACGTTTAGACTGGGTTGCTGTTCAGGAAGTTAAGTTAAGTCGCCATGATATAGGTATGTTTAGGTTTAAGTTACCATAATATGTGCATTTTCAAAATAGTAGGCTTCCATGTTATGTCTTGCTATGGTATTTATAAAAAAAAGTTCCTTAGCAGCAACCCAGTAGATAGAATATGAAGGTCTCAGGATTGTGGCTCCTTCTTGGGATCCTATTCAGTCCCATTGGAATGCGGCTCTGCTTTATACAGGTTATGTATCGAGAAGGGACCGCAGTTTGACGCCTGTATATGGCTGTGTGACTACTCCCCTCAAGATCAGTATTTTCTCGGAAGGATTGGAAATCGGCGGCAGCTTTCGTAGTGAAATGGGTTGTCGGGTGTAACTGGCTAGTTGCCAGTTTCCAGGCCCCTAAACCCTAAACCCTGAACCCTAACCCTAATTAGTCTTCCGTGTCCGGGGGCAATGTATCGGGCGATGTGTTTTTGCTATACCCCAAGGCACCTCAAGCTCTAGGGGCCATACATCCTAGCTGTAAATCCATATGAGCTATAGTCTAAACTCCTTCAAGGGGGTTATAGAAGGGATTATGTAGGGGACTACTCTTGGGGATGTTAAGGGGATACTAGGAGTTTAGACTATGGGTCATATGCTTGAAGTTTCGATTCTTGACCCCTCTTACAACTAGGCAGAAATAACCCCTCTACCGGTTGCTCAAAGGGAAAAAGTATCCTCTTTGCATCTGGTGTTTCAAATTCCTATGCGTGGCCTATCTCGTATCACTTCACTTAGGGTTGCGGGTTGCTTGGTACTAATCTTGTCCGCGAACCCTAAAATCTCACGGCCAGTAGACACACCCATTAGAGTATAGAAGCTTCCATGTTCTTGTCCATTAAACCATATATCCTATTCTCCAAGCACCCAAGCTAATGATAAACCCTGAACCCCCCCCCTAAATTCAATGTGATTAAAATAAAAACAGGAGCTACGCTGCGCACTGGATTCCAAGCTACTTTGCGACCCAGTGATGTCGCCAGGTCAGGTCCTAGGCTTTGGGGTTTCGAGAATATGGGGGTAGATGGGGAAGAATGTAAAAGAAAATGGTATCAACTCTACTACCTTAAACCCCTAAAACCCTAAACCCTACAATGGGGCGTATAGAAAAGAGCCCTAAGGTCTATGCATTTTGGAGTTTGGGCCTCAAGGACGTGTAGGGTGACAAGGTTTACTGCATCCTCGGTCAGGGTTCGGAGTAATGTAGAGCCATGATTGATAAACCCCCTCCTTTTAAGGGCCTAAATATTAGGATCCCTATTATAATCCTTATTAAGGATATTATTAATCATGGGTCTGGGTTAGCCTTCGCTTTGTTCAGTGTGAAGTTGTCGAAAAGTTTGCCGAACTGGGAACTAAGGGTTAAGGGTTTAGGGATTAGGGTGGAAGTAAGGGTTCAAGGTTTAAGGATTAGGGTTTTGGGATTAGCTGGCCGCTTCTCTAGTTGTGGTGGGTTTGAAGTTTCATGGTTTATGCTGCACTCAAACAAGTTCCAGTAGCTGTAGCAAGGCATTGCCAACAAGCTTGTAACATCCCTGGACTTCTTAATGAAACCTGCGAAGTTGGACAACATAACGGTTGATTACTTGGTATTACATGGTACTGTTATCTCACCATCGGGTCTTGCACATCTGCGGAATAACGTAGCCCTTCATGACAAAAAGAGTATTTAACTGTTAACTTTATAGCTTTGAAGTCTATGAACAGTGCTGACTTAGGCCCACCCTTTCTACAGAGTTTATGAAGGCAGAATGCCTTTGGGCCCTAAAGTTTTGCATGACGGGATTGTGCAAACATTTTTGTCCATTAGTTCTACATGTCTAAAAACTACCTGAATGAGCCCTGCATTGGAGCCTATGCACTACTTACTTTGCCCTCCGAGGTCTATCTTAGACGGTACTCAAGCTGGCCCAGAAGTTTATAGATAGTGCTTACTTCAGTGTCTAGGGCAAGGATATCCCCTGATGTAGCGCAGGCGGCATTGTGTTCGAGCGCTCTACCCTCGCAAGGCGAGGTGAATGACAAGCTTTGTTTAGGGTTCCAGAGTGGTTTAACATAGGACTACTATGCGCTTCCCCAATATGAGCCATAGACTAAATTCGTTAAAAGGGGTAATGCTGGGGATTATATAGGGGGCTACTATAGGGCTGACGGAGGGGGATAATTGGAGTTTAGACTACAGCTCATATACGGTTAAGGGCTTAGGCGGTCAGGGTGCAGTTAGCGTGTGGAGGAGTGCCTTCGGCCGGGAATGAAGACATGGGCATAGAGTAGGGTTTGGGGTTTACATGGAGGTTCATGGGACTTAGTAACTATTTAATCATAACTGGTGTTATAACCCGACTTATGATTGGGGTAACCCCTATAAGGTTATTTAGGGGGGTTATAAGTAGGGTTATAAGCCCAGTTATAAGTAGTTACTATTTCCCATGAACCTCCAAGTAGGCACTGGAGACTAAGAGGACTACCAGGGTATGCGGGCTCTCCTTGGTATCGGAGGAACACATGAAGCTAGACTGTATGGGACAACGGATTTTTTCTAATGAACGGATGGAAGCAAGGATCTGCAAATCTCAGCCCAAAACCATGGTTTTCGATTCCAGACGTGGGTTCTGCAAAGCCCGAAACAAGCAGAAAAGGCAAGGGGGGCGGCCTATATGCAGCCATAGTCTAAACTCCTTAAAAGGGGGTTATATGGGGGATTATATAGGGGACTACTATAGGGGCTATTAAGGGGGATACTATAGGAGTTTAGACTATAGCTCATATGCAGTAGAATGCTTCACTTACAAGGAATGTTCACGTTAAGATGGGGCTCTGGGAGTATGCCTGTCCAGGTGCAGATGTACTCTGCTGTAAGAAGGTAGCCACGTGAATGGAATAGCCTGTATGGCAAGAATCTGGCACATGATAGAAGTCCTAAAGCTCCACGGGAATGAAGCACGGAAGTCTCTGTCTAGGTAGGGGTTCCAGAATCCATGCACCGCTGGGGCCATGGTCCTAGATTCTCTGCATGACATGGTGTA